TTGAGGTGAGAGTCCCTATCGGGGACAATACCCAAACCCGAAGGTATAAGAGCTAAGGCCTGAAGGCACAGGTTTGTTAGGACCTGCCACCTGAAATAAGACTGAAATGAGAACATGCACACGCACGGACCCATACACACCTGCCTCCTCCTGGATCTTCATTCAAGGTTTCTAAAGATAAGATGACCTAGTTTCATAACCCAGTTTAACCCAATCCTGCGTGAAGACTCTGTTTCCCTAATCTTGTCCCTGAACAAAGTGGTGAGGTGGTGTATAACTGTGTTATGTTTCTACCTGCCTAAGAGAAAGCACTTCTTTTCTTAGCAACTAGAGGAAAGAAAATATGGTCTGGATTTAGAATCTGGCTCTGTTTGTGTTGAACCTATTTTCCACAGCCCTCAGGATTGGAGGAAATTTTCCAAGGAGGGAGGGGAAAAAATGAACTGAAATTAAAATCGACATTAAAACCAACACGCCCTTTAAGAAAGATCTGGATGGCTTTTCCACCATTACTTTGAAAGTTGTTTGAGGCAGTGTAAGGGGCAAAAACAAATTATGCAACAGTGGAGAGAGAGTAAGACCCGCCTCCTTTCTCCCTGCTATCATACTAAAAAGCAGAAAGAAATCTCGAAGTACAAATTAAGTCTCCACCGTAGAATCAGGCATGTGACATTTAAGAGAAGACACACATTATCTATACAACAGACATACTTCTGAATGATCTAACTCACTCTAAACTGGAAACTTGGATTCCAGCCCAGGGGATGAGACTATTTTTTTTTTTCCTTTTTGAGTATTACTCCCTTTCTGGCAATTTAGCTCGTTTTCCCCCAAACTGGCTTGGCCAATGCGCATGACATGGTGTCCATGGGAGTAAGTCCTGTAGGTTGCCACCATGAAGGTGAAGAGGGGGTGAGTTGGGAGGAATGAGATGAGACCACTGTTGTGCTTTAAGACTTAACACAAAGCATCATACCAGGAAAGAGATTTTAAAAGAGTTACCTGGGATTCAAATAGCATAAACGCATTTATTTTTCAAAAAGCAGCTTTGGACTCTTTGTCTACCAATCCTTTCAGGAACTGGAGATTATCTAAGGCTGATCAACTCCCAGTAAAATGTCCCCTTCTCACTGACTGAACAGAAAAGCTGCAATCAATTTGTCCCCTAACATCTGCAGCCAGATAGCAGGTAGGGCTACGATGCTGTGCTCTCCACTGTGAAGAAGAAAAGCCAAGCAGAAAACACTGTCCCTTCCTTCAAGGAGCCTGAAATTGAACTGAGGACCTAGAATAAGAAAGCAACTAAAACCCACTAATTTGGTTCTAAGGTTTATAAGACAGTGCACCGTGGGTAGAGGTACTGTGAGGAAACAAAGCAAAAACTGAGTAAGATAAACAGAATTAGTTCAGTTGAAAAGATGAGCATGACCTGTCACAGAGCAAGAGAGAAAATCTCTATAGGAAAGAGCAATTTCCACGTGTGTCTACTATTGTCAATAGAAGGCTCAGGTGCCATAGTGAAGACTGATTTGGCTACTCTCCACACATCAACATTCAGGGTTCTATCCCTGACATGCATGGAGGGGCAGGCTTATGCTCAGGCTGCTGGAGTGCATGTTCATGAAGAGTCACCAAGAAAATGAGCTCATGTGAGACAGAGAATCTGGTAAGTCATAATAACTATTTGAGTAAATCACAGCACTGACTTTGAGAACCAGCTAAAAATAAAAGAGGGATAATATATATCACTAAGTAAGAAAATGAGAATATAAATACTTTAAGGAAATTAAGTCTGTGTACCCAACACATCAAACCAATTCCTACAATAGTATACACCTGGCCAAAGTACACAGGTGCCTACAGTCTAGGCTCACCAAATCAGCACCCTTTGGTGTCTCAGGCACCCCCACCAGTAGGCTGCTCCTCAAAGCCCTTTGCACAAAGATATTTAGGAAACAGCTGTGCCCCTTTCTGAAGACTTTGGCATGAAGTCAAAACAGGACCCCTTTGGGATTCTACAATAAGTATAAATGTAGGGACTAAGGTTTCATTCCAGCTTTTAATTCACCCTGAATTGTCTTGCAACTTGAGATGCACCATGAACAGCTTCGGTATCTGCTTTTTCACAGGTGAAATGCAGAGAGGGGAGGTGACATAAGTCAGGGGGTCAAAGTCCTATAGACCTTTGAGATGATCCTCATTCCCCTAAGCCCTCCCCCTCATGTGGGAGACACATACAAGGCTCCAAACCAAATCAGAGATCAGTAAATAGTAAGAGTGAATAAGTGAAGATTGATCATTTCAGTGCCTTTAGTCCAGAAGAGTGGGCTGATGGAGGCGGAGAGGTGGTCATGCTGTTTTTCCACAGGGGGCCAGGCAGGGGGTGGGATGAGGGAACAGCAGAGACAGATCCAGCCAGTGGCCTGGGCTTACACTTTTCATCAGAACAAAGAAAATCCTGGTTCAGCAACTTGAACAGACCAGCAAACCTTAGGTGACATAAATGAAACTGGTGAAAGCACATTTGTTAGGAAAAGCCAAAAATTGTGAAGCAAGGGCAAGTCTTAGCAAAAAAAAAAAGCTTTAAAATGTTTTAGGCCATCTGCTTCTTCCTCTCTTCTGAGAAAAAATGTTTTACATGATCATAATAAGGAACTGTAGTTGTTGGTCACTGTTTGGCTTCGGTTCACTAACAGCAGTATCAGCCCACAGTTAATTTTTTTTTTCATTGTCACATCTTTAGAGCTCCTTGCACGTCAGATCTTCAAATATGCCCTCAGATGGAGTGTCTTCAGAGAAGGCTTTCAGCATTCCCTCCATTGTTAAATATCCCCAAAGTGTTTCCTGCCATGCCATAATTTCACTGGGGCACCATGACAGGGCGCCCACCATCAAAGGAGAGGGAGGAAGAAAGAACTTAGTTCTTACTTGCTCTTCCCTTGCTATGTAGTGCAGCCTCCCACCACTAGCCCAAAATACCATTCTGATGAAATATTAGAGTGCATACATCTCTACGGGAATCAGAAAATAATACCTTCTTGCCAAGCTTCGGCCCAAGCAGGACACTTCTTTTTAAAAGCCTTTTCTGATAACTATTTCCACCGTCAAATAGGGATGGAGCATCCTTCCTGGTGCTCCATGACTCTGGGCCCCTCTTTTCCAGGTGCCACCACCCTATATGCTTGTTGTTGACTTCTTGTCTGCCACCTGCTTCCCAAGCTTCTTGAAGGCAGAAACCCCATCTTCCTCCCCTCAGAATCCCAAGGAACCAACGCAGGCTCTAGCACAAAGCAGGGACTCAAATGTGTGATGAATTAATGAATTCACCCATTATTTTCTTTCTGACTAAATAAATCTGCAGGCTGCACCGTTTACAAAGAACTTTCACACTTACTGCCATGTTTGATCCTAATAACACCCAGGAAGTCTCCCTTAGAGAGGGGCCACAATTGTCCCTGTCTACCGATGAGGACACTCAGACTGAAAGAAATCAAGTGACTTGACTAATGTCACACATGGGGCAAAAGGATTTAATGACTTTTTCTATGTCAACAATTTAAACTATCCTTCATTAGAATCCTGCCTCTCAGATAGGGTCCTACTACTTTAGGTTAGAGGATTGTTTTGGCATCATGAACATTAAATCCACTGGTTTGGGTCCCTGACTCATAACGTTCTCATAACTGGACCAGGAATGTTGCTCTTTGATCTTATTTATCTGCTTGTTTATACATTTAATTCTTTTTGATTATATAAACACGGGTATGAATATATTCTATATTCCATTACGATTTAAGAGTTTACCGAGTAACTGGCCTGGAATAAAGGGAAACTCCAGGAAACGAGCGTTCTTCCTGAGCACCAATGCAGCATGTGCAGGTGCCACCAGAGCATTCTCAAGACTCTTATCAAGGAAGAAGCTGCATCTCAGTTAAGTCCAATCTTCTGCCAGGTACTTCATAAAGGTAGGCAGCATACATTGGCATGTGTCCAGAATGTAAAATAAGAATGTCAATTAAGTGCGTGCTTGGGAGAGAGGAAGAATTATTTTAATATAAAAGGACATTAAATCATGACATATGGGCTAAAAAAAATTTTAATTAAAAAAAAAAAAGCAACTCTTTTCCCACCCTGCCATGCTCTTTCGTATGGGAGAACATGAATTATCCTCACTGTTCAATTCAACCACAAACGCTAAACAAGAATCACCATCAAGACCAGACTGGCAGAATTTTAGGGCAGCCCTACTCTACCTTCAAGCTGCTCCCTACATTCATCCCTTCAGGAAGAGACAAAGCCTTTCAGTCCATAGTGATAGATGTCTTTGATCAAGAACTTGACTCACTGAAGAACCTCAATAAATGTATTCTGATTGATTTAAGAACTTCAGAATGCAATCTTCAGCTCACGTTAATAGTTTCTGTGGATGTCTTTTGGTTAAAATTGGCAACTATACCCAAGCCACTGATACCAGACCCATCTCCCTTTGTGTTGGGGGCAGAAGCGTATCAGACAGGAGGGCATGAAGTACCTAAAATGTAAAATGAAATCATCTTCTGTCAGGGAAAAACAAACAAACAAACAAAAAAACCCAAAAACCAAAAAGCAAGCTCCTAAAAGGAAAAGAAGGCAGTCTGAGCTGAGGAAATTAAGCTTAGATGACACGAAGTTGCTAAGGGTAAGCTCTATTCATCGTCAAGTCGGCAAGAACAATAGAGCATGTGCACAGAGATACTTTTTATCTCACAGCTGCAAACCCAGGCAGTAGCACCTCAAACGATTCATGGAGTTTTTATTCTAGTCTGAAATGCATCCGATCTCATATACAGGAGCTATGTTGCTGGAGGTTTGAGAATGGAACTATGGCTTAGGTATCTGAAGATGGGTCGGTGAGCAATATTGGAAATGATTAAGTCTTGCTTTGTAGCCATAGGGATCCTGAGAATGAGAGAGACACACATACAATTGAATTACGTTGAAATGAAAAAGCCAACACCTACACTCCAGTCCAGAGTCGCTCTGGGCTCCTTCGCTGGACCATTTGCCACAGGAAGGCTGAGGGGATGTGCAGGAGCCAGGTGCTGCAGGCCTGCCCGGGAGATTGCTTTCCTGCAGCCAGAAGAAAAAAACAAACAAACAAACAAACAAACAAAAAAAAAAACACACAAAGAAAAACCAACATCAGAAGGTCATACACAGCGAAAAATTTCCCTGGGGTAAAAACAATGCCTGAGTTAGTCTTCCACATGCAAAAACCTTTGCAAATGTATTGGAATCTATGTCTCTGAAGTGCATGACCAAGATAGAGGGTGGCAAGTCTCAAAGATGGGGAGATTGAGGGGACCACTTTGGGGGACAGCATTGCTTCAGAAATAGAAATTAAAAATGTAAGCCCCTATTCAGGGTAGAGGGCAGAATGCAGGTCTCTCTGTTTACAAAAAAAAAAAAAAAAAAAAAAGACCGAGGGCCTGGTGGTGATAATACTTGGACAATTTTAAAGCTGTCAGAGGCTAAAGGCAAGAAAAGCAGGCTCCTGGGGTCTTCTATTGAAATTCCTCCATTTCCCAACAAAGTGTTCTCCAATCGGGTCACAGCGCCAAGTTCAGTCTTGCTCCTCTCAAGAACATCCTTAAAGTTCCAAATGGGAAAAGACTGATTGGTAGCTGCCAAGAAACGGTACATGCTGAAAGAACACTATCTTACCAAGACCCATGGAAAGATAAAACCAAAACACGTGGCTTAGATTAGGTTTGTAACGTGGAACACAACAGAATGCAGGTCAGAAAGGAGGGAATGAATCAGGAGAGGTTGAGAAAGTCAGTCCTGACCTTGGTCTGCAAAGATAAGAAATGAGAGGAGCTGCTTTAAGCAAGCAAATATGACAAGGGCAGGGGGAAGGGAAGGGAAGGGAGATGACAGCCTGGTGGACTGAATGAGAACAGCAAGGTGGAGGAAGAAAGCAGGGAGATCTTGTGATACCATCATTAATAATGTTAAGTTCAATTTCTGCAAAGCTCCATGAAAAATGCCAGACAAGAGTCTCAAGTTTCAATATAAGTGCTGATTAATGAATTAACTAAGTGGCTCCCTGGAAAGGAGAGGGGTTTTCCCTCCACAGGACTGTCCACGTGTGCTTTGAGAATCACCTGAACTAGAATCAGGTGGGTCTTGGGACTCTGCAGCTGAGCCCTGAGTAGATCTCAGACTGCGGCCCAGGAATCTGCATTGACACATGCTTCCTTCTGTAAGCTAACTTTCAAACCGCTCTATGGGAGTGTGGAAGGACTTTAAAGAGGATATGAAATGGAGAATCTCCCATATGCACCCTCAGGAAAGTGAAATTTAAGAACTTAGAGACTGATTTCAGGTTAATGCCTAATTTCCAGAAGACTAGAAAGCTATCCCTCAACCAATGAACATCCACCAAGATCGTCTCCCCATCCTCAAGCCACTGAACTTGCTGCTTGGACTCAGGCTAGACTCCCTGCTCTTTGCACTCCTGGCCATAAAAACAGCCCACCCCAAATTGTTAATGGACTTGCCTGGGGCTTGCTACAGTTTTTGTGTCCTGAATTGCAACTCCTGTGCTATTCTCGAATAAACTCAATTTCTGGTAATTCGAGCTTGCCTTGGTTTCCCTCTTTCTTTAGGTTGACAAGAGCAAGTACATTTGGGCAAGTGGGGGAGTACTAACTTACCCAGGTTCATCAAGGGGGGGGAAGCCCTGAAGGAAAGCATCAGCAACTTCATTATGTACTTTACCCCCATTAGCTCTCAGCATCCTATCTCAGAGGATGTGAACACTGCAGTAAGAATCTGCCGTCTCGGACACTGGACCTGCAGACACACAGGGTTCCCAGGGAGGCCCAGATCCTCAGACTCCTTCACCCATCTCACTATACAGAGGAACAAGGCTGCAGACAGGTAGATGGGGGAAAGGAAGGCAGTGATGGCCAGATGTACAGTGAATCCCATCAGGACTGAGCCCCTGAAGGGAAAGGAACTTGCCCAGGAAAGGGGGAGGAGAGCAGAATATAAAAGCTCCATTGGAATCTAAAGGCAGATAATCTCTCTGTTCTGTTCACTGATTTCTGCAAACTCCACCCAGAAATGGGATTTGTAATTGACCAAGATCAACAGTAACCCCAAAACCCAAAGAAAGGCTGGGTAGAATCCAGAAAAGAATCCAAGATCATGCAGCCACTGATTAATGGTCAAGTATGTCTAAGAGCTCAGCAAGTGCCCACCCCTTTTTTCCCCCTCTCTTATATTCCCACACAGGAAGTCTCAGAAATAACATCAAGGTCTTTAGTAGTTGGAAGTGATCCCATCGACTTGCCAGGAGCCTACTTTCAGAAGCTCCCACTGGGTCACACACAATGTACTTGCTTTATGTAATCCCCCAAAGAGTCATTACAAGTGTGTAGACCTTTAATGAAGACATTCCGATGACACAATCTTCTCTTTCCTCACTTCCATCAAGGCAAATAATTAACATCAATTTTGGCCCCTTCACTGACACCAACCCTTTTGGGTTCCCAGAGCCAATTACAAAGTTGGCAGACAGGTGGGGGGTGGGGAGTGGGAAGTGGGGGTTTCCTCCAATATCAAGCAATTCTCAGACACCAGCAGGGTGTCCCAGAATTCAACTTAATTCTGACACTATCTAACCAGAGCTAGCATTGGATTCCATAGGCTTAGCGTTCAGTCCTACAGGACCACTCCCCACCCCCACTTCAGATGCCAGTCACAAGTCCCAGGCTGTTACCTGGGCTTCTGGCCAACCAGCTACAGATCGGAGGTTCCAATGACCTCCTCCTTAGGTTTGATTCATTTGTTAAAGTGGCTCACAGAACTGACAGAAACACTTAACGTTTATCCGTTTATTAAAGGAGATGATAAAGGATATGAATCAAGAGTCAGACAAAAGGGATACAGAGGGTGAGTTATGGGGAAGGGGTGTGGGGCTTCCATCCCCTCTCCAGGGGCCTCATCTCCCAGCACCTCCACCTGCTCACCAACCTGAAAGCTCTCTGAATTCCATCCTCTGGGTTTTTATTGAGGCTTCATTATATAGGCACGACTGATTAAATCATTGGCCATTGGCAACTGATTGAACCTTCAGCCTCTCTCTCCTCCCTGGAGGGAACGAGGGCCAGGATGGAAAGTTCCAACCCTCCCATCACAAGATCGGTCCTCGTGGCAAAAGGCCCCCACCCTTGGGTGGGGTGCAAAGCCACCTTCATTAACATAATGAAAAACACCTCTTTCGCTCTTATCACAGGTTTCAGGAGTTGTGAGCAGAGGTCTGTGGATGAAGACCAAATACATCCAGATTACCAAATATAAATTGCTTATAAATCACAATATCATAGCCCTTCACCCCAAAGTATATTCTGTTCCACTGCACAATAAGCCAAGAACACTGGAAGATTCTTATATGGTGCTCCTTCATGGCCCATGCATTTTTCTCCACCTGAGTTCAAGAACTTGTGTAACGTTTTTCTTTAGGACTTTTCTCTGGCTTTGAAGGAGGGTGTATGTGGTTCTGAGTCACGGCTTCCATCACAAGAAAATCAGATCTCTGCAGCATCAGAATCTACAGGTCCCACCTTTGATTCCTTAAAACACAACATAAGGGTCAGTGTTCTAACAAAAGATAACAAACAGTGCCTGATCACAAGGCCTTGGAAGGGCTGAAGAATTCCTAAATCTTGGGTTACTGAGGAAAATACAAGTCCCTCATCTTTTCCATGAATAGCCACAGAGAGTTGTGGCCAGAATAAAAAAGAAGGGAGGGAATAGAATTCTGCTGGCCCAGTGAACATCACAGGGCAAATGAGCTGAACTCTCCAGAAGCTGGAGACTCTGACCACCAAAACCTGTGTCCCTAATTAAAACCACCGGGAGGGACACGCTGCCGAAATAACCAGATTAGAGCATGAGGGCTGTGTGTGTCTCCAGAAGAGCAACGTGGCAATAAGAGAACAGAGCTACCAACCTTTGACCCTGACTAAGCCCTGCAAGAAAAGTACAGTCAAATGGCACTCTTTCCCAGCCAGTTGAAGAGAAACGATTAAGTAAGGGCTTTTGCTGCTTATTTATTCCTCGTTGTCGGTACAAATTTAAGGGTGGTTTTCTGTAACATGAAGAGGGGACAATTGTATACGTACGACACACATAAACACTTACTAGAAGGAAAATAAGTAAGAACCATCAAAGCGGTACCGGTTTATAACTGTAAAGGGGCCTCACAAGAGGTTATTACATAAGAAGGAGAACTGGAGAAAGGTCTGCAGGAACTACAGCGAGGTAGGAGGCGACTTCCGATTACAGCTTTTTCCATCTTTATAAACAGCCGTGTGAGAACATCCTTTTCTCCAAAAGCTCATGTATATATACACCTTTTGTTCCAAAATAAGAAAGCAATTTCATTATTTCTCAGACCTCAAATAAAATTAGTGTAAGTTAGTTTTCTATGTGGTTCATCTTGGTTGTAGGAGATGACACCTCAGAGTGGTAGAATTTGGGGTGTGTTGAGGAGGCAGGGGTTTTATGTTACAAGATGCTCCGGTAAAAAAATCAATGGAGTTTCAACTTCTCATTTTTTTTCCTCCTGCCCAGAATCCTCCCAAACCTACAGTCAGTGAAACAGTGAGATCCTTCCTATTAATTTTACAACAGCACTTTGTTGGGGTGGCTATAATGGCAAAAGAATCTTTGAAAAGGACAACTGCAATATTAACTGTGAAACAGACACGAAAAGAAAATATTCTACAATGCAGTTCCAGCCGCACCGAGTCACGGTTAATGTCAATTACCTGCCATGAAAGACCTCAAACATATTTAAAGTATAAAAGCCATCATACATTTTAAATAGCAATCTATTATTTCCTTCACTTCATTCAATAAGACTACAAACTCCTAAAGGACAGGGCTCAATTCATCTACTAATCTTATTACATTCTAGCCCCGGGGTAGACACAGCAAATATACTATAAATGCTTTCTGAGTTAATGAATGAACTTGACCAAAAAGCTAAGCAAAACAGCTTGCTGATTAGATCAAGGGTTGAGAAATCTGATTAGGAAGATTTGAATTATATCCCA